GGGCACACCCACACCTACAGGGCGCAGGAGGAAGGGGGGAGAGTGTCAGAGCCAGTGACCTGGGCACACCCACACCTACAGGGCGCAGGAGGAAGAGGGAGAGGAGAAGCAGGAGGGGGTGCGTACTGTTGAAAGCAGATTTTAAGAGTTTAAGAAGGGAGCAGGTGACAGTGACAAATGCCACAGAATATCAAGCAGGAGAGGGTCTGAGAGCCATTCAGTTGGATAATAGGCAAGGGGCTGCGCATTGCTGAGCTGTGTCTGTGGCATGGCGTGACGGGCTGGCCGAAGCCAGGCTGTAGTGAATTGGAGAATGAATTCCAAGTAGAAGCTGTTACAGGTGCAGCCTACTCTCGCAGGAAATGAGGCTGTGCAGGAAGAGCGTAAGGAGCCTTCAGTGTTTCTTTGGTTGCTGGGTTAATGCTTTATCAAGGTCTCTTTGTTGATGTGTTTTTCTAGTTGCGGATTGAACATTCTCAGGCTCTGTGGTTCTTTAATTGTCTTGGAGTGGCGCTTTCTGCTTATCATTCATGATGTAACCACTATGAAAATGCCCAGCTATAGGTGGCTGCAAGAACGTAAGTTCTGCTTCTTTTCGTGGCATTCTTGACGCCATTATTTTTGAAGTTGCTTGATACAAAAAAAAAAAACCAGGAAAATCCAAATACTAAAATGATTCAAAGAGGGTAAGAGAGAATGAGAATACATACCTTTATAAGCTCAGGCTATGCTTAATTGCAAACGATTTTGTGAAAATTTTCCTCTCTTTATTGTCTTGAAGTACGGGCAAAGAAGAAAAAGTGAGAATACTTGCAGGTATTCTGGGTCCTGGAATGGCTTTGCATTGCAGTTTGTGAGGGTTAGAACAAATAAATCCCAAACAACTTGTGATTTAGTTTTATAGGCACACATTCATAAACTGGATTTGGGCAGTAATTTCAGAAAAGCATACACAGGAGAATCATTTGCTGCACATTTATTTATTCCGCAAAGATTTCATGACTACCCATATGTTCAGGCCTCTGCTGGATGCTGCAGGCGGGGCGCTAAGGCGGTTTAAATGAAGCCTGTCATACTTGTACGATGGGAGACATGCCTTAGAGGCAAGATGGGGTTTCAGAGGAGGGAGAGGGCCTTCTGATGGCTGATCAGAGGAGGCTCCTTGGAAGAGGTGGCATTTGAGCTGTTTGCTGAGGGATAACCGCTCGTTCTCTTTGACTGGTCCGTTACATGTGACACCCTTGACTACTCTCTGGGAGCTGTTCCTCATTTGATCTTCTGATGCTCTGTTATGCAGCACCAACTCCCACCCCTGCATTCTCTGTCCAGACCTTTTATGGATCCTGTCCCTCCCAGCTCCTCTATTCTTTTCCCTTCTCCTCAGTGTAAAAATGGTGTGGCGTCAGAGGTCCTTTAACTTCGCAGGAGGACAGAGAATTACCATCAGCAGCATCAGCCCAAAGCTGATGATCCCTGTGAGGTAGAGGTCAGACCTACCTCCACCCTCTAAGCCTTTTTACCAATTCTGACACCAGCCGTCCCTCCCACGGCACTCTCTACTTCTCTGCTGGGATCGATAATTTGTTTGCATTGGCCACAGAGATCTCATAGACCATACTCATGATTATGGGGTGTATTAGGGAAGTAACAGGTTACAATTCAGGATCAGGATCAACTTGGGGGTAACAGGAACAACTAAGGATACAGTTATTCGATCAGGACAGCTTCCTGTAGGCCATGCCCTCAGACAGGCCCCTCGGCCCTCGGCCTCTGCCCTGATTGGGTGAATGTTACAAAGCTCTTTAGCTCCACCGATAAGTGCCCGGAGACACCCCACTCTGCCAGGAAGCCTCCTGCTTGAAGGTGCTCAGCTCTGCTCTCTGGGTAGGCAAGCCTAGCCTGCTGGTCCCTTGCTGCTGCTGCTGTCTTGTACTGTCTTCAGTGTTAATAGCTCTTTCTCTGTCTCCTGGGTCCAAGAAGTTCTTGGTGTAGGGACCCCGGGTCCAAAAGATGTGCTCTGCTCCCGGCTCTTCTTGATGGTAGTGTGACCCCCCCTCTAACCTCTGGGATTGGGTCCCTTTAAGCATAGCAGGATGACAAAACTGACCAGTCACCTACAAGGGTTCCATGTACCTTATTTGCATGAACCTACCCCCACAAGGGTGCCGTGCACCTTATTTTCATTAGAACTATCCAATCCCTTTGGAGGGCCACAAGCACCTTATTTGCATAGTAACATCCCATCATTTTGTGGGAGTTACAAGACCATGGCTAGAAGGGCCATGTAAAAGTAATTAACTGCACCGCGCTCAGATGTATCGTTTACTTCTGCAGCTTTGAGTGTTTGCCTACACAGATCATTCCAAACCCAGAGCTTGAGCCTAAGCTATCTCTGAAACATCTTCCTACATTTCTAACTTGAGATCTCATTAGCAGTTCACATTTAGCTTGTCTAAATCTGAACACTTCCCCGCAGTGCACAGCTCTACCTACTTCCTTCCTTCCTTTCCTCCCTCTCTCTCTCCCTCCCTGCCTTCCTCCCTCTCACCTTCCCTTCTGTCTTTTTTTCTTTCCTTCCCACTGTTGAGTGTCTAAACTACATGCTAGGTGCTATCTTACCAGTCTTTTGATTACTCAGGCTTGGAATCGTAGAGCCATCTTTGTTACATCTTCCTTACCACTTATGTCTAAATAATCATTTGTCTTCATTTTTCCATTATCTTTCCAATTCTTTTTAGTTCTACTCATGCCGTCTTAGTTCAGCCCATTGTTTGTACACTGCAGTGGTCTTCTAAATGTTCATCATTGTCCTACTCTTTCTCCTCATTACCAGCATCACCACTGCTTGCAGAGTGTCCGTCATGTTCAGAATGTTGCTAGGATGACATGTTCAATAGATTAGAAAATGGAGTAGTGAGGGAGATGAAACAGACATGAAACAGAGGAGTCCATCATCCACTCCAAGGGGGTAAGCCCAGCGTGTGAGTCAGCAGTGCAGGGTGAGATCAGAGGCAGTTGGAGGAGGTAGACCCCAAGGTCTATGAGAAGATGACTACTTAGACACCTGTAGAAGGTTTGGGGAGGAGGTTGAGTGGTAGATGGTTGCCCCATGGTGAATGTGTGAAGTGTGGAAATCCATGTGGAGAGAGCAGGAGGGCTGGGACTGGACTGAGATGGGTCTAGTATGCCAGCATAAAGAACCTGGGCTTTATCCTATAGAACTGAGGACATAGAGAGGGAACTGACAGAATCGGGGTGAGGGAGGGGTGTGACATGAAAAATGCTATCTTGAAGAAATCTAGAGATTGTGTTTAGGATGGCTTTCAAGATCGAGAAGACTTTGCAGAACTTTGTGACATTTTGTTTCTTTTCTCTAATTCATTCAAAAATGGAGGGCTGCCAAATTAACTTCTACGTCAAAACTTTGATGATACCACCCTCCTGTTGAAATATCCTTGGTGGTTCCTCTGTCTGGAGAAGTGGTTCTTATGCTGGCTTTGGGGGAGGCCTTCATAATTACATTTCAGCCTGTCCTTCCAGCATTGCCCCAACTGCTCCCCTTCAGGAGCCCAGTCAGCCCTCACGCAATTTAAATTTGCTCCCAATGATCCCACTTCCCATATTCTCCACTGTTTGGGAAATTCTGCTGATTAAACTTTCACCCAGCCGTCAGCATACTAGTAATGCCTTCTGCTGCCCTCTCAGCCTAACGCGCTCTCACCCCCTTGAAGCTCCTCGCATACTTACTGCCTGTGTTGTCTTCTGATTAATCAACAACGGACGTGATTTCTCCTGTAGCTGCTTTAAACCGCTAGTTAGTGCTCATGTTGTTGTCTGTCTGTTTTTACGTGGTGTTTCTCCAACCATCTGAAACCATCTTAAGGGCGGGGACTCTGCTTGACACTTCCGGCTATTCCAAAAAAACCCATTTCTGTCGAGTCGATTCTGACCCATAGCGATCCTATAGGACAGAGCAGAACTACCCCACAGGGTTTCCAAGGAGTGGCTGGTGGATTTGAACTGCCAACCTTTTGGTTAGCAACTGAGCATTTAACCACTGTGCCACCAGGGCTCTGCTTTTGGCTAGAGCCGGTGTATTTTCATCTAACAGCCCCAGTCATGGTATTTTGAACATTATAATCAATATTTGTTGACCTTCTGTTTCGTTTTAATCGGTCCAAACAGCCAGGCTGACTAGGGGAGATGCCAGGACCCAGGGGTATAACAGCTTTGAGGGTTCCGTCTTTCACGGGTGATGGTCACGGAACAGGCAAATTCAGGAAGAGCGTTTTGTTTCTTCCCGTTTCTTTGTCCCCTTCGTTCACCACAAGGGAAGTGGGGAACATCCCCTTGAATAAGGGAAGTGGGGAACATCCCCTTGAATTCTGTGTTGGACAGTAGGTTCCCAGCCCCCCTTACAGTGGACCCTTTTCCCAGAGGGAATAGTCTAGTTTGCGTCTCCTGGCTTAAGATAACTGTCCTGAAAATCAAGATACAGTGTCAACTAAATTAAAGTTTAAAGCTTTGGTCCCAATTTTCCAGAAATAAGTTAAAAATGGATGCTCATACTTTGTTGTTAAGTAGGTCAAAAGAATCCACAGAAACAAAATTAGCCTTACATAGATCAGAGAATTAATTGTAGGCATATAGGTTAGCAAAGACTAAAGGCTGGAAATCATTGGCCAGGGGTGTAAAGCATTTGCTTTTCAGTTGAAAGGGAAGCATACTGAGATTCTGGAGTAGCTTTCTCCCAGCTCCTGGGTGGACCGGCTGGGGAGCATTCGAGGGTAGTGTCTTTGTGAGACTTGGGATGGCTTTAGACCTTGCCAGGGAGCTTGGTGCTCAGTTCTACAGTGAGGTTAAATCTTACATACTTGTAGGGGTGATAAGTGGAGTTGTAAGTCGGCTACAACTTCCCTGCGTGTATGCAAAGAAAGGGACAAAAATTAACAACATGAGGAAGAGAGCTGAGAGAAATGTTCAAACGAGCAAATGGTTTTAAACTCTCTCAGCTGCTGCAGAAGCACATATTGATGTGGAAACAGCTGACCTGCTAATTAGAAAACATCCTTGCTTATTCATTAAACCAATTATCCTAAGGAATTCTGCTAGGCAACCCTTAGTCTAGTTCTAATTATTGTGTGCCCTTGAAAGCAATAAACTGCATTTTTGGAATGAAATCTTATAATTCCGACGGACACATGGTTTCCTCAGACATTTCCAGTAATTAGAGTGGGATCGTAATGAGGGGGTTGCACTTTGGTTTTTATAAAAAAGGCTTATCCTTCTCTTCATGGGGAGATTTTAATGAATTATTAGATAATGTATGTTTAGATCTGTAGACTCCTTGAAGATCATTATTATTTAAATATGAGAGGGTTTTTTTTTTCTTTTTAAAAAGGTTTTCTTTTTGGGTTACCCTGGATCTTAAATAATTTTTTTTTAAGGGGATGAATATCATATTATGGTTTAAGACAATGGTGAGACTTTTCTGCCATAAAATGAGATAGCATGTTCAAATAAAAATAAGGTGATTCGCAGTCCACACAGCCCGCCTATCCCCACCCTCCTGCTTTGCCCCGCAGGGGTTTTCTAGCAAGAATGCTGCTTAAGAGGTGTGGGGGAAGGGCTCCTGCGGGGGGCTGGGGGGGGGTGGTGCGCCCAGGGTCTGCTGATAGCAGCTGTGTGAACAGGTGACAGGCCACTGCTGCCGAGGGGAACTCGCGCGGGGCTCTTGACTAGCATTCGGGTGAGACCATAGGCATTTTGCTCAAGAGCGTGAACTTCCAAGCCAGTGCCGGGGTTTGAATCCTCTGTCCAGCACTGAACTGGGCATCACTGGGCATCGCCAGCTGGGTGACCCTGAGCGCATTGCTGAAATCTGAGTGCCTTGCTTTCCTTAAAGTTCTGTTTCAAGTGCTCAATGAGTTAGTTCACTCATTCACTTATTCATTCATTCCTTCATTCACTCATTCGTTCATTCACTCATCCATTCATTCACTTATTCCTTCAACATTGTCTGTTGTGCACTTGCCTTGTGCTGGACAGGGCTGTGAGGCTGGTGGTGTTAGGGACGGGGATGGAGCAGTGAGTAAGAAAGACAAGGTCCCTGTCCTCATAGGGCTTATATTCTAGTGGGCAGAGACAGACCACACATCAGTAAACAAGTCCAGGTATAAGAAATGCTGTGAAGACAATAGCAGGGAAACCCAGTAGAGAGTGATAGGACTCTGGGGGGAGAGGGCAGTCAGTGTTAGCTAGGGTGGGTGGGAGTGGCCTCTGGGGTGACATTTCAGCTGAGACCTGAATGACAAGAAAAAACGTCAGCCACATTATAATAAAGTTCTCCTTTGTGTGGGTGGCTCTCCTCACATTCTTATTTTAAAATCTCTTACCCTGGTGGTGCAGTGGTTAAAGCGCTCAGCTGCTAACTGAAAGGTCGGTGATTCGAACCCACCAGCCACTCCACAGGAGAAAGATGTGGCAGTCTGCTTCTGTAAAGATTTAAACAGCCTTGGAAACCCTACGGGACAGTTCTGCTTTGGGTTTTGCCATCGATATAAAATCCTTTTCAGCAGGGCACTTCTAGGAGGTTTTGAGATTCTGCCAGCACACATTTGTGTACAAACAAGTCATGGTCAGTGTCGCTGGAGCTAGTTTTCTCCAGCTTCATCTGGCCAGTGCCCAGATCTGCCCTTCCTGGGGCACCTCTCCCTCGGCTGCAGCTGGGGGTGCACCCGTCTTGTTAAGCCTCAGTTGCTGGACACGTCTGACTCTGTTCCTGCCCGACAGAAAGTACAGGACTGGGTTGAGGCAGCTGCTCATGCCAGCCAGAGGCCTCCATATCTTGTAGGCCATGCTGGCCACCATCTCGAGCTGGCAGTCTCGGGAGGGCAGGAAGCGGATGATGAAGTAGCAGGAGCGCGTGATGTGGAAGGGCACAAAGCAGAGGGCGAAGAGGCTGCACACCAGCAGGATGGTGCGGATGGACTTGGCCCGGGCTGCGCGGCCCGTCCTCTCGAGGACCTGCTCTGGTTTGGTCAGCCTCCTGACCATAAGCGAGTAGCATGCCAGGATGACCAGGGAGGGAAAGATGAAGCCGGACAATGTCAGCACCATGCTGTAGGCAAAATACTGATAAAAGTTCTCTGGGTCGCTCGTATCGTAGCAGACCACGTGGCTGTCACGGTAGCCCGTGTGGGAGAAGGCCAGCGTGGGCAGCAGCTGCAGGACCACCAGGGCCCAGGTGGCGGCGGTGCCCAGCACGGCATTCTTTCGGGTCCGGTAGGGCAGCGAGCGCAGCGGGTGGCACACGCCCAGGAAGCGGTGCACCGAGATGCAGGTCAGCAGCAGGATGCAGCTGTAGAGGTTGGTGTAGAACAGGAAGCGCACCAGCCTGCAGAGCAGCTCCCCGAAGGGCCACCCGTCACCCAGGGAGTAGGCGATGATGAGGAAGGGCAGGGTCAGCACGTAGAGCAGGTCGGCCACCATCAGGTTCACCAGATAGATGGTAGCACAGCTCCAGTGCTTGGTCTGGCACCAGGAGAGCCACAAGACGGTGCTGTTGAGGGGCAGCGCCAGCAGGAAGATGATGCTGTAGGTCAGGGAGAGGTAGATTTGCTTGTAGTCCTCCGAGAACTGGCAGAAACCCGCCGAAGCATTCGTATCCAGCTTCTCCATCTCCTGGGAGCACAGCTCTGCCACGGCTCCTGCTCTTGCTTCCCCTGGGAGGAAACAAAATGGACAGGTAGCATCCTGATCTCGTGGGTGCTGGCCTCTGCCTGACCTGGCCTTCTGCCAAGTGACTCTCTGTTCCCATGTCTGGCCAGAGCGTCGTTTGAGAGACACCTGCAGGAAAAGAGAGTTAGACTCAGGAGAAAAGCTGGGCTTCTAGACTTACCAGGCCCAGAGGGCTGGCCTTGCAGTGACGGCGCTCCCGGCTTTAGGTCAAGTACACGTGGCAGCGGAGATGCTCGTGTCTTTTAAGTAGGGTTCACAGAATCTCTGGCTTCGTGATTCCACCTCTTGCCAGAATCCTTTGCATAGAGTCAGGAAATCTCCGAGGGGGGATAGTCCTGCCGGAGAGGCTGCTGTAATCCCAGGTCGATGCTGCCCCTAGGATGGTCCTTCCTGACTGCATGTACCATGGTGGAGCAGAAAGTGATGGTTGGGGTTTAGAGGATTAGGGAAAGCACCAGTTTTGCCTACAGGCTCAGCTGGAGGATTTTGATTTGTATCTGTTGCAGGATTTATTACCTGCATATTTGAATGCGGAGGCTGATTTGCTTATTAGCTTTATCGGCATCCCCAATATTCAAGAAAACAAATCGGAGCCATGAAGCCAGGTGCAGCTTCTTCCTTGCTCCCAGCCCTGCTGACAAAGCAGGTCTAATAGCTGGGCCCCAGGGGCTAAGAGAGCTGTGTGCTGAGCCTGCGTGGTTCCCTCAGATTAGGGGTGTTGGTGGGTCCATCAGCCAACCAGCATTGAGCCTCCAGGATGCCCTTAAGTGTTCTGGGCCCTGTGTGTGAACTGAAAGAAGTTTAATTCTGGCTCCTTGTCTTCAGAAGACTTAACATTTGGGACACAACATTCTGAAAGACAAGTGAATTCAGGGGAAGAGAGATGTTTAAGATGGAAATTTGGGGCTAGGTTGAGTATTGACTGCAGACTCTATTATAGAGAGCTTTCATTACAGCAGAGCAACAGAGCGTTCATTCACTGCATCTGTCAGCAAACATTTCCTGAGGGTTGTTGGGCCAGGTGCTAGGGACACAACAATGACACAACAGCCCTTGCTCTCCCGGATCTCACAGACTAATACAGCTAACTGTAATGCGACGTGAAAAAGAGTCAACAAAAGAATACCGCGGATGATGGGAGCCTGAAGGGTGCGGTGTGTCCAGGGGATGTGGAGACCACAGATGATGGGAGCCTGAAGGGCGCGGTGTGTCCTGGGGACGTGGAGAATACCGCGGATGATGGGAGTCTGAAGGGCGCGGTGTGTCCTGGGGATGTGGAGAATACCGCGGATGATGGGAGTCTGAAGGGCGCGGTGTGTCCTGGGGATGTGGAGAATACCGCGGATGATGGGAGTCTGAAGGGTGCGGTGTGTCCTAGGGATGTGGAGAAGACCACGGATGATGGGAGTCTGAAGGGCGCGGTGTGTCCTGGGGATGTGGAGAATACCACGGATGCCGCCATGAGGAGAGTGTCTGAAGCAGGACAGTGATGTGATGAGACTGTGTGAGTCTGAGGAAGGTATTGGAAGTCCCGTGGAGCTGGGCCTCCTGAGAGCAGGGAGGAGCCAGCCAGGCCAGCGTGGGGCTGGTGTAGTGGGTGTGGGTGAATAGACCAGCACCCACCAAGGCCTGTGTGTGGGGTGGGGGCGAAGAGGGGCTTGATGGAGAGATGCTTCTGAGGCAGGAGCCCCCGGACCCGTTGGATGTGGGCGAGAGCCAGACGGAGGAGTTGAGGGTGTCCCTGAGGCCTGGGATGAGGAAGACTGCGTTGCGCAGTGGTGTCCTGAGGGCGTGGGGCAATGGCTTAGAGAGGCTCCCTGTGCCTCAGTCTGCCGGGGGCTTACCTCCTTTAAAGTCCACATGACTGGCAAAGCAAGGACGTGTTCTGGCTGGGTGAGTAAAAAGATGGTAGTTCTCATTCATTTTATTCCCCGTATTCTCTCACGTCAGGGGCCAGTGAGTGCTTTGTGGTTACCAGTGTAGCCGCCCTCCCAGCTGAGTGTGGGCTCAGAGGGAAGCCGAGGAAGGACACCAGCCTCACTTCAGCACTGGCTTTGGCCTGGCATATTTTTGTTTTCACGGCCGTGATTTTATGAATCCTCAGGACAGCCTTGGGAGTGGAGCATCATCACTCTCGTTTTCTGATGAGGAAATTGAGAGTCAGAGAAGACAACCTTTATGGCTCATTAGCTGGGGCCTCAAATCTGGTAGGCAGGGCCCCTAATCTGGATTAGGATCCCCCAGGGCTGCTTTGAGGTAGTGAGAAGTGCTCAGATCCCTGCTATACTAGGGACTAGTAGGAGTCCCTGGTGGTACAAGTGCTTAATGCATTTTGTAGCTAACTGAAAAGTTGGAGGTTCAAGTCCACCCAGAGTCACCTCAGAAAGGCCTGGTGGTCTTCCTCTGAAGAACCAGCCATTGAAAACCCTATGGAGTACAGTTTCACTCTGACACACGTGGGTTGGCAAGACTTTGTCTCACATACTTTGGACATGTTATCAGGAGGGGCCAGTCCCTGGAGAAAGACATCATGCTTGGTAGAGTAGAGGGTCAGTGAAAAAGAGGAAGAGCTTCAACAAGATGGACTGACACAGTGGCTGCAACATTGGATTGAAGCATAACGATTGTGAGTATGGCACATGACCGGGCAGTGTTTCTTTCTGTTGTACATAGGGTTGCTAAGAGTTGGAGCCAACTCAATGGTATCTAACAACAACAACATGTTTTATGACCTTGAGCCCAGGGCTCTTCCTGCTGTGTCTCTGAGAGCCTGGACGAGTTTCTGGCCTGCTGCTGGACAGGGCACTCCACTGTGTCTCTGGGAGTCTGGACAAGTTTCTGGCCTGCTGCTGGACAGGGCGCTCCACTGTCTCTGGGAGCCTGGATGAGTTTTTGGCCCGCTCCTGGACAGGGCGCTCCACTGTGTCTCTGGGAGCCTGGACAAGTTTCTGGCCTGCTGCTGGACAGGGCGCTCCACTGTCTGGGAGCCTGGATGAGTTTTTGGCCCCCTGCTGGACAGGGCACTCCACTGTCTCTGGGAGCCTGGATGAGTTTTTGGCCCCCTGCTGGACAGG